ATTTATGACAGATCACGTACCTCAAGTGAATGGTATCTTAGCCCGAAAAAAGAAACATCAACAGACGATCTATCAATTCAGTGACATTTCAGCAATAATAGAATGACATTTCACGTGGTATAACAAAGAAGATAAATGAATTTAGGATTCCCTTGTATCCACGATCTTCTCTGCTGCCACCTCCTCTTGTCTTTTCATTCATATCCCGCTCGCTAAATTCATTTTGACAGATTCGCTACATTAAATTGATCGTCTGCTATCTAAGAGTACGCGGAAACTATACAAAAAAAGAGAATTACTCTCAACCGCAATGACATTCCTGATAAATAATCCAACATTAACCATCAGCAGTACCAGAGCAAGAATTATTGATTATTTTTATCAATAATTGGCAATATTACAGCTAATTCCGTCGTTTTTCGCATCGAAGAGCCTGGGAGTGGTTCGGGAATCGACAAACAAAAGTTATTTTATTAAAAATTCCCGTTGGGAATAAATATGTTCGAGGGCTTAAGAAGGAAAGAGGGAGGAAGGGGTGAGGATACCAGAAAGGGATGAAGAAGAATATGAGGGGAATGATATGCGCGCAGTACGATGTAGGTTGTCTTGTGACGATGCTCCGCTCGAGATTGGAAATTTGGAATAGAACTTGAAATGATGTAGGGCGTACTATTTCGTATGACACTCCTGAATGAGCTTTCGTGTACTAGAATAGCCTGGAGTGAGAGTAGGCGCCAGTTACTTCTAAGTGTGAGGATTTCTAGACACGAATGGATACACTCGCGAATGATGCGACTTTGTATTCGCACATTCAACTTCCAAATCATATGCAACAGAGGGTATTCCGTTATTATACTCAGGAAATTCTAATTCTCGGGGTACATTGACATGTTAGACGCTATTCTGATATTCTCAATCTTTATCAACTCCTGTAGGTTCGGAGTTATTCTGAGGGAAGGAAAGAGTGTGGATTTATGCTCAAGATTAAGGGTTTGCTGATTATAATATGTGTCATATAATTGAATATTTATAATTTGACAACGTTTTTAAGATATACTATGAAAGGAGTAGTAGTTGAACAATCAATTCTGACAAGCCGCAGTAGTTTAATACTCTGGGCGCAGTAGTTGAACTAATAAAATATATGGCAATGGGCACAGCAAAAATTTTCAACGTTTTATTGAAATATCAAATGAATTGTGACATATTATTGATTAATATATTAAAAATAATACTGTGAGTATTTAATATGTTCATTTAAAAATGAGAAATATCAGTATTTAATTTTTTAATTACATTTTTTATGAATGACAAAGCAAATTTTCAATTATCAATCAAAAAAACTCAATTCAAAACGTTCAATAATTTTTAACTACACTAATATTTAGATATAAAACTTATTTAATTTGCAGTAATTAATACAAATCATAATGCTGATCACTAGTCTATGAACCAATTAGAGATTAGAGTGCTGTTAAAATTATACGGCCGCAGCTTGTTCAAGTTCTGGGTACTGTGATCTTTGTAAATTTGGAGGTATAGTTAGACGCTAAAATTCAATATAAAAATTATAGTTTATGTCTTTGCAAAAAATATTTATTATTCAGAAAAGACTATTTCATTGGGTGGTATAATTTTTTTTACTTAATAGTATATTGTGCAACAAGTGCAACAACGTCGCACGAGTTGCACATACTATTTTGTATTACAAATGCGGCCATATATGTGGGCACAAAATCGGGGTCCAGGGGCAGAGCCCCCCCCCCCCCCCCAGTCCTTAAAAACAAACAAAAAGTTAAAAAAAAAAAGAAACAAATATATATCAGATAATAAAATAATAAATGCATAATAAATAATATTGATTAACAAAAAATAAATTTACACATTGAAACAATCAACACATAAAATTAAATCACATTAAATTGAGCTGTCACTGCAATTTTTTTAATTTTCTCTCACAAACAAATTTGTTCCGAAAAATTATACATTAAAAATTGCATTTTTTACTTTACAAAATTCCTACATGTCAATTTAATTTAAAAAAAAAATTTTTTTTGTCATAATTTATTTTTTACAAAAATTATTAAAATTATTAAATTTCTGCTAAATTTATTTTCATCACAATTAAATAGCTGGATATAAATTAATTATTTTTACTTTCGTTGAAAATATGAACTTTGTAATGTCAACCTCACTTCTTTAATATTGACAGTTAGATTGTGTTTTTTTTTTGTTATTTATTTTAATTTTAGCAGTTTTCACAGTCAATATCATGCGACAAGTAAACTTGTCGCACTCAAATAACAGTTTTATTTATGAAAAAACTCATGCGTAATTTTAAAATGGGCAAACAGCTCTTTTTCAACCGCAACAGCGAGCGCCAAGATACTACTTTTCCCGCATGAGTAATACAATATGATGATATATTACTGTTTTTTTTTTACTGATTGCTCGGTCTCCGGTTTAGTACCTTTTTCATGAAAAAAATAGCATCTATCGGCTATTCTTGACATGTTAATTTTTAAGTTAACAAAAATATAATTCTTTTGATTTATAATTGAAAAAACTTACAAAAATCAATTACTGTATCATTGAATAATTATAACATGCGCATATACTGCTCGTAATAAATACACGGATTTTGTATTACAACAATTCGTAAAGTCTGTTCAAGTGTACTGGTCCCATTTTTATAAGTGTTCAAGTACTGGGTACTTTACCTTAGTTAAGGTATAATCAGAAATTAAACTGGCATTATTATGATTTCAAATAAATATTTACTAAAAATATTTAATTATCTAATCAGAAAAAAAAAATAATCTGTCTTATAATATTGATTGTGATGTCCTATATTTAAAATAATGTACAATATTAATGAATGCGTACCAGTGAAATTCCGAGGGATGGCGTTCTCAGTGCGCTTGAATACGAATTTCCTTTTTATATATGTCAATAGAGGGCGTAGCTAGGTCAATTTTCCGATTTTAGACTATTTTTGGCTACATTGGTTTAAACCAACGCCTTGTAATTTTATTATTTTAATAAAAAAAAAAAAATTTAGACTATTTGGCTGCATTGGTTTTTACCAGGGAAAGGCCTTTATTTCAATAAAATAAAAAAAAAAAACATTTTAGACTATATCGGTTACATTGAATCGACCCAAAGCAACTCTCTTTCTATTTTCTTCAAATAAAAAAAAAAAAAAAATTTGGATAAGAAAAATATTGTGACCTTAAAATGTCGAGATCTGATAAAAACTCTATTTTTGCAAAAATTTCTTAGCGGGAAGTTAAAAATAATTATTTACAAAAATTTTCTTTAAGAATAAACCTTTTTTTTACGAAATTTTTTGGAGTTTTCCATGTTATCCTCTCCCCTTCTCTCTTTTCTAATATAAGCTTTTCATTTTTGAAATTCACCCATAAGACTAAAATTTTTAGAGTGAGAAAAAAATTTTTTCACGCCTTTTTAGCATGACCAATTTGTTTTATAATCAAGTCTTAACGTAAAAAGTTGACTTTAGTGTTTTTAGTCATAAATATTCAATATCAATCTCGACATCGAAAGAAAATAGTACCGTCTATTTTATATAAATTTATCATTAATTCTATTGCACACAGTATAACCGTTTGCAATTGATATGAAATACACGAGTTAAAGTGGATCGGTCCCTCAATACTCTCGGGAAACTAAAATGAAATAAAATAAAAAAGGAAACCGATAAATCACTTGTGGCCTGCGGGAGGTTTCTACGTACGCGTGTCCATAAAAGCTCGCTCGAAAAAATAAAATAAAACTGATAAAAGTTGAGAGATTTGTGTACTTGTAAACTTAGAGTCCTCTATCGCAAACGATTGGGCGGATCAACTCGTATACATATATACCCCATAAAATCCCTCGACCGTTTAAACTGTATCCTTTAAGGCCTGAAAAAATACTCTACGGTCAATAGATAGCAACACCCTTTTTTATTTCACTCTCGATTTATATCAATGTCAACAGTTTGCTGGGCGATTGGAAAATTAGTCTTATCAATTGAGCTGCAAAAAGTTTTTCCGTGATATCTTGGAAAAATATCAAAATACATTTATAAAATATTTCATTTCAAAATTTTGCATTTTTTAATTAAGATTTGATTAATAATTATAATTTATTAAATTATTAATTTTTTTTTTAAGTAATAATTTTATTTATTTTAATTACTAATTTTTTGAGAAATTGATTTTTTATAATTTTAAATTATTAATTTTTTGAGGATTTAAAATTTTTAATAAAATAATTTTTACTTTTTCGAAAAAAATTTAATGACCACATTTAAAAAAAAAATAAATAAATAAATAATTGAAAAAATTTAATTAATGCATACTTTATAAAAATTAAAATTAAATTATTAAAAAAAAAATACAATTACAAGTTCTTATAAAAAGATACTACCATGCTTTTCTTGATATGATGTAATTTTGTAAGCATAAATTATTATTGGGTTTAGCCCACTGTCAAATTTCCTCCCTGCTGACGCACATATCTCAATAACATACTTATTTTTTCAAGAGCTATCACTTCTCTCCTCATCAGTGTCATTATCTCCCTCTAAAAACGATATATATGGATCACCGAATGAGTGGCTCCTCAGTTCTCGTCAGAACAAGCGCTTGAACGCAGCCTGTGATATAATTTATAACTAGAAATTATATTTAATACAGTTGTTTTAGTTATCAAACATGATTTTCGAATTACCTATTGGATTAATCTTATTGTTAATAATTTCGAGTAAGTAATTGATTTTTAAAAATTCTTGAAACCAGTTTTTTTTACTCGGATGCTTTTAGATTGAAATCCGAAGTCACTGAAAAAAATTACTGATTTACTCCGTACGCGGAGTATTTGAATTTCTTCACTCTAGTTCTCTGAGTGATTGGAGTGAAATAAGAGAAAAATTAACTTCCAATTTTTGACAGCGGAGTAACACAATTTCACTTATTCTGCATTTTTTTTTTCAGACGTTAATTGTTGTGGAAGAGGTCGACGTGGCGGAAGACACAGATCTAGTAGTGGATCTTGGAGTTTATTCGGTCGTTCACCATCTTCTTCAGGTTAGCTATATGCTTTTTACAATGCAGATTTGATAAGAATAGAAATTTTTTATCATAGTATAGATTGAACTATGAATTAAGTACTTATAAATCATCTATCATATATGTTCCTTGATGATCTTAAACCATAAATTAATTTACAATATTTTTTTTACCAAAAATTATTTTATAAAATAATCACCATTTTGCTATTTAGGATCTAGACATTCTGGAACTTCGTCAGGATATTATGGATCAGGATCATCTGGATCTTATGGGTCTAGGTCCTCTGGGTCATCTGCATCGTCTGGATATTACGGGTCTTCAGGATCCTCTGGATCGTATGGATCATCTGGATCTTCTGGATCATCTAAACACCATGAGTCTTTACCATCATCTGGATCTTTTGGATCAAAAAGACATTCTGAATTAAATGAAGCTCTCAATTCCCTCAGAGACAATTCGTACAAGCCATCTCATATCTTTCCCATCTACAATTCACACTATCACCATTGGAATCATAACAGACCATCTTACGGCTCAAGTGGTGCTGGTCAATCAGTGTCATCGACTACTCCAACATCTACATCAACTAATAGTCCAGTAAACTTGCCAGTATCGTCACAAAATGCCTACCAACAACGTATGAACCAAATCTTCAGTATGAATGAATTTAATAATCCCAAAAAATCTGAATCAAATACTACCCCAAAAACAGTGATGTCAACAAAATCAAGCTTTCGTGATTCGACAATTGAAAATTATCTATTCCGTATGAAAAATATTCTAAGAATAATTAATCGCGGGAAAGATGAAGATCTGGAAAAATTCCTTGATTCAAAGTATTTTTAAAGATAACAATTAAAAATTTTTTTAATTATTAATGAGAATTAATGAGTTATTTAAGTAAGAACTATTATTAGTTGTAAGCAGAGCCTGGAAGTTGGGGCAAAATATCGTTTCGCTCTCTTTTGTTTTATATGTTAATTTGCCCCAACTTCCAGGCTCTGGTTGTAAGTTATGAATTGTTAGCAATAGTTAATTAACATACATTAGTCATCACCGGAGTTGATAATTTAAGGAATTTGGATACAAACAAATTTTCAGATTAATTTTTGCCGAATTACATATATCTAAGATTGTATTTTGAATTTTAGTGAATAGTATATTACGACCTTAGGCCAGGAAATTCAACATTCTGGCCGTGGGTTGCATACTATTTTTTTTGCTCTCTAGCCGAAAGTACGCAACCCCGTGGAAAGGGTTTTGCAAAACCGAAGCGAAGCCGAGATTTTGCCGGGCGCGAGGGGGGCGCCGCCCGACTTTTGTAAAGCCGAGGCTTTGCTGGTCGGGGTGGACATAAAAAAAAAAAAAAAAAGTAAAAATTAATAAATTAAAAAAAAAATAAGATATTTTAAAGTTACAAATATTTGAATTATTATTTAATTTTTTGAGTTGATTAAAAATTAGTTTTTAATTAGTAATCGACGGCTAAGAAAGATTGAAATTAAGTTATTAAAAGCTTGTAGAGTAGAGAAGAGGTGCTGCAATTGTAACAAGGGGCAATTGTAACACTCAATGAAAAACTATTAAAAAAAAAACTAAAAATTATTATTATTATTCTTTTTTTAACTTCTTCAAAATAATAATTTATTGATTAGATCGGTTCTGCGACAGAATATCCCACGACTAAATATCCGCGACAAAATGTCTCATGACTATATACCCCCCAGGACAGAATACCCCCATGGCGTTGTATCCCCGATCATGTCGCTGACTTACCTACACGACAAATTTAAATACAAATTAATATTTGTTATTACCGTAAGATGGACGGTGGCGTTTACTCAAGTCGGGTCTTAATATGTGACTGAATAGTAGTTACGAACAGTGGTCTCGGATAGCTTAACTGGTAGAGCCTTTGGCGCGTAACCAAACGATCCGGGTTTGATTCCCGGTCCGGGCTGTCCGAATTATTTTTTCGGTCACTAAAGAGATTCCTACTGAGTAAAATAAGGTCCTCCCCTTCCCCTTTATCCTTTATTTACCCAATTCCCAAATTTGTCACGGACTTATGACGCTGACATAGCATCGCGGGTTGTAATGTCCGGGGGTTATGGTGTCTGGGGGATGTAATGTCCAGGATATTGTGTCGGGGGATATTATGTCCAGGGATGTTTGGTCGCTGAGCCGATTAGATCAAAGTTTCAGTTATTAATTTTGTTCCGATATCAAAATATTAAGAATTGTTGAAAATACGCGTGAAAACTTTTTTTTGCACGCTTCACAATTTTTTTAATAACAAATTTGTTTTCTAATGTTATGATGTGAGACTTGTATTAATATTTTAAGAGACATATCAAGAGTATTGTAAAATTGAATTTCATATCAATTTACTGATTTTTGTTATTGTAATTAGATTTTTACTAACAGATCAGCGTGAGCGTCAATTGTAACACTTGAACGAGTAGCAATTGTAACACTCAAAGTCGTGTATGGAATCTGCGCAAACTGGATGCGCCACAAATCTACTCTGGAATAGTGTAGTTTGTGAAGTTTTGTAAATGTTTAATAATTTATATTAAAGATCCAAATATATGATATACTATAAGTTTAAATACTTGACTTTAAGAGTTAATGAAGTATAATAGTACATTTTAAGACTATATAATAAAAGCAATTTGATGAGAAATATCTATTTCGTCCCGTGTTACAATTGCCCCTGCACTGTGTTACAATTGCAACCCATGCGCGCCGCCATCTTGTTCCCTGACTTTAGTTAAATAAATCCGAACAAAAACAGTTTCACTGTAAAAAAATCGCGCCAAGTCCACGTTCATAAGACTATTAAGAAAAAAAAATTAGTTTTTTTCTTTACAAAAAGATATAAAATAAAAAAAAATAAAAAATCCAAGTAATCGATATGATTGTATATGATTTTCCGAAAATATAAAAAATTTTGTAGTAAATTTAAAAATTAAAAAAACAATTTTGAAACGTATTTAGTGTGCGCGGTTGCAAAATATTTTACTTTTAACTAAATTCGAAAAATCTATTTACTAGGACTTTAAAAAAAATTGAAATACACAATATGACGCACACCAAAGGAGTCTGGCGCTCCGTTGACAACGGATTTGAACGGAACTTGGCGCCAGATTCTACCGAATCTGTGGATAAAATTATTCTTACAAGTATTGCGTCATTAAAGGTTGATGTTTTATAAAATAACATTTATTAATATAATTTCTATCAATATTGTCAGTTAATAAATTATCTACATGATAATTTATTTAATAACTATCATTAATAAGTATTACAGACTTTATAAAAATTGAAATACACAATGACGCATACCAAGTACGTTCCAAAATTTTTGTTTTAATTTTTAAATTTACAACAAAATTTTTTCTAATTTCGGAAAATCATATACAATCATATCGGTTACTTGGATTTTTTAATTTTTTTATTTTATATCTTTTTGTAAAGAAAACAAAATTTTTTTTTCTTAATAGTCTTATGAACGTGGATTTGGCGCGATTTTTTTTACAGTGAAACTGTTTTTGTTCGGATTTTAGTATTTTTTGTAATTATAATAAAAATTTACAATTAATACAAATTTAAATCTCGCGTTGGCTGCATTTTTATAGCAAACTATTCCCTTGAAGCTACAGTTTATGTAAAAATAATTCCGGCGCACCCTGGCGGGTGTAGATGCAAGCTGTGAAATATCTTTTTTTAACTGTAGTTTCCCATCTAATGAAGGATTACCATGCACTATCGAATTATGTAGTCTGTGGCAGATCACTTTGCCCATCGAAAAAAAGTCAGGATCGAAATTTTTGCGTTGCTATAGTTTGTGCTGATTAAATTTAATAATTTCAAGTAGATTAATTGTTATAATTAAATATAATTAATTAATATCAGTAAAATAAAGTATGAATTACTGTTATAATATAAAATTTAGGAAAAAAAATTACCGTAGAATTAAATAAAATTTTGCAACCTCAAAATACCGTTCTGCTTACAGTAAACACACTCAGTAGTCTGACGCTCCGTTTACAACGGATTTGAACGGAACTTGGCGCCAGATTCTACCGAATCTGTGGATTAATTTTGTAATAAGTTAACATTGACTTTTTACTAATTAACTAAGTCAGTCACATAAAAGATACTATCAACTAACTTTCTGACAGTTTTTAAGTTTACTATCTTGAAGAAAGCAAATGGAATGAGAAAAATAAAAATTTTTGTTACAATTGCAGCACCTCTCCCCTACATGTACCTATTGTTTTGTACATTTCTTGATAAACATTGCTTGACTAGCTGTCAAAATATAAAAGAAAGCGAATAAAATCCACAAAACTTTTATATTTTATTTTGTAAACTTTTTATATAAATCATTTGTGTGGTGTTATGATTAAATAGTTTATTAACACTAGTCTAGGTATAAATTATTTTTTATTTCTTTGACATTTTTTGATTAGTTTATGCGTTAAAATGTAACATATAGACGATGTTAGGTAGCGCGCATGCGCCAGAGTAAGCCACAAAATTTGCTCTTTCTGGGGTAAAATATAGTTACGGAAATGACGATTTTTGACATTTTGGAAATTTTAAATGGCTACTATTTCTAGAATAATTGTCCGATTTTATTTATCTTCGAACTTGTTAAAGATAATTATCTGAAGTGTAAACATGTCTATTTTAATTAAGTTCTGCTTAGAATTATAGGCACTACGGTTGACAGTGTTATAAATACATACATGTGCAAACTTTTTCACCATTGCTTTTTATGAGCCCTTCTCAACTAGTTAAAACAAAATATGACAAAATTTTGAGAAAATTCCGACTTGAGAACGAATGCAATAGATTGATTTCTATGAAATGTTCTAAAATAATGCGCAGAGTCTTGAGCTCAATTAGTGGAAAGTTCTGGAATGGTTTATGAAGTCAACTATCTTATAAATTTTTTAGATTAACTAGCATAAGAATCCTGAAAATTTTAACTGTTGTCCACATCAGAATATTTTTATAATAAACTTCTTGACAAAATTCTTGAGTAGTTATAAAAACTTCAATGCTAATGTTTTTCTTTTTTTTTTATAATTGGTATCTGTCTATTATAAATTCTTCTAAAGTGAGAGAAGAGTAAGTATCATTTACGGACCTTAACGATTACAATACATGGATTTATGGATATTAACTAGGAGAATATTAAAATATATTGTTTCTGATATAGTTTGTTAACATATTGATTTATTAATTATTGTTGTTGTTACAGGTGGATAATTAGTAAAATACGCAGTGACTAATTATACTTGCATTATCAATATAAGATAAGCAATTCCTTAGCAACAGTCAGGATATATGAATCCACATCCGCATGAACCTGAGCAGCAGGATTGGTCGGTCTCACACTAAATAAAACATACAAATTAATCAATTATAGTTTCAAATTAATTATTAATTGAGTATTTCTATGAAATTGGATAATTCAATACAAATAAAACAGAAGAATAATAGCAACAATATAAGTAACATTGAATAATACTAACCCCCCCGCCTGCTGCTATACAACCCATGACAGATGAGGAAATCAATATATTTGCCAGAACAGCAATCAAAACAATCAACGCAAAGACCTTTGACATTTTTAGATTTTTTATAAATTAATTGCTCTATAAAAATAATTCAATAGACAAATATAAATACTGTCAGTCAATAAAACTTCTATATATATTTTTATTTCATTTATTAAAATAATTGATTAAAATTTAATCACCGTTTCGAAGTGTAGAAAGCAGTAGGTTGTGTTTTAGACAAACAGTCGAAGACAAATTCCAATAATTTTGGTGCCAGTTTATATACTGTGTAACAAAACTGTCCCCGAAAATTTAAATAAATTTCCACCGGAGGCGGAGATACCGGCTGCGTAAAGTTCTTATGCTCGCCCTTTTTTGAATAATAATAAATTAATAAATAATAATAATCGCCGGACGATCAATTAACGATCTAAATTAATGCGAATGGAAAATAAATCACGAAATACTTACAGTCAGGATTAATATATAATTTATAATCAGCAATACTAAACAATTAATTATAAATAGTACCTCAAATTATTTAATTAAATAGGAATGTATATCGTAGGAAAAGATTCCGGAAAATAACTTACATATAATAAATTATTATTAAATCGGTAAATATTAATAAAAATAAATTATTTATTTATAAACGTTGTTACTTAAACTAAATATCTTTTCTAAATAACAAAATAAATCCTTTATGGAGTTCTGATTAATACATACAACTTTTTCTTTAACTTAATTTATAATATTGCGTTCGAGAATAATAATAGTCGCAATGAAAACAATAATTATAATAATGATTAAAACTCAATACTATTCAATTTGTTCTGCGCTCGAAAATAGCACTTGCACTAATAATGAATATTTAACATTAATAATTGTAAATAACGCTAAGCAATAACTGCTTTGATAACTAACGTCATTCGTAAATCAAACTAAAAATAATAATCGCAATAATGAACTATGACGTAATGTCTTAATCTGTAAGTATTATAAAATAATCCATAGAATTAAATTTTGAACATCATTTATAATATTGTTAATTACATTACTAGGGTATTGAATAAAAGAAAAAACAAATATATAATTTCACATTTATTATCTATAACTAAAATTATATCAATCTTTTTTTTATTCTCTAAATAATTTTAGCGCTACTTAAAACTTAAAAATATACATTTAAAATTTTTCTTTTAAATAACTATCATTAATCTCTTCTAACTCTTTAAATTTTGAATCTAATCCCATCATGTGCATAGAATCTTTGAGTGAATTTAGAGTTTTTGCCATATCATCATGCATGGGCTTGAAAAATCCTGTATAATCATCCGTAGCAGGAAGAACTGTTGTAACAAAGCTTACTTTCTTAGGTTTCTTATCTTTAGAAAATTGCTGGAAGTACTCATCTATTTCAGCAGTCATCTGATCACTACGTCTTTGTGCCTCTTTAAAGTCATCTGATTCAAAGTACGAAGGTTCAGTTATTGGCTCATAATTAGAACCATGGGCATGATTATCATCATCGTGGTGAGTACGATGATAAGGACCTCCGGATCCTGTGTTGTCTAGAGATCCAAAGTCACTGTGAGAGCCAGAGCTTGAGCTTCCGGAGTCGGAAAATGATGATCCTGAAGAATCTAAGGTAAGTCACAAAATAAATCATACACTGATAAAAAAAAATATCTTCATTCAAGAAAAATATTCTTGCTCCAAGAAAATTATTTTGAAGAGAACTAGTCGTCTTATTTCAAGAAATTCTTGTCTTGATTTCATGTTTCTTAGAGTGAGAGAAAACTATCTACACGGAGAGAAAAATATGGAAATCATTCCTATAATTTTAATGAAATGTTTTCCTACACCTTTTTTACTTGGTTTAAGACTATAATATCTTCGATTGCTACAAGTGAATTCTTTATTCAAAAACGATTTTTTTCAATAAAGAATAATTTTATTTCATTTCATTTCAAGAATTATTGATTGTTGATTCAAGAACAAATTTTTTTATTTATAATATTTATTAATACTTATATTTATAATATTTATTAATACAGAGAATAGCAAAAGTACAAAAATTTATATGCTTAAAACAAGTAAAATAATATTTTAATTCAAGAGTCGCGCCATACTTGAAATAAGTCGGTAATATCTTGAACCAATGTTACCGTCTATCTTAATCCAAGAGAAAGAAATTCTTGGGCGACGTTGTATATATCTTATTTTAAAACAACTAAGCTTCTTGATTTAAGAATCAACTTCTTAAGTTAAGAGAATTGAATTACTTAAAACAAGAATGACATTTTGTAGAAATAGTATAATTTCTTACCTAGGGCAGGAAAATAAGAAATGTCTCAGATTACATGTAATTGTTGACCGAGGCGAAGCCGAGGTCAACAAACATGTGATCTGAGGCTTTCTTATTTCCTGCCCGCGGTGAAAATTCTATTTTTCTCCTCAATGGAGGCGGAAAGCGGCATTTTCGTAAAGCGCAGCGGGCCGAAATTTGACGCTTTCTGCCCGTCGAGCAAAAAAATTTTTTTCTTTATACCTCGGTCGAAAGTACGCAAATTTTGCATCTTTTTAAAGAAGAAAGTTCAAGATTCGTGCATTGATAGAGCTACGCATACGTCTTTTGTTACAGCGGGAGCAAAAACTTTTCTACCGCATTGAAACATGTGTGAAGTTGCTTTCAGTACCCCAATTATGTTCGTTATTTGTTACTAACCGTATTTTGTTTATGCTGATTGTACATTTCATGAAGCATTGAGAATTTAAATCGTGAAGGATTTAATTTATTTAATTAACAAAATTATGTCGACTGACATAAAAAAATAATGTGAATCTTGTTGATTTATTAACTTATCGATAATATTATTATTCTTTATATTTCCCAACCATAAAAAAATGTATGTTAGTTAATTTTAAAAATGTTGATGTTTGTTCAATTGAACAGTTTATCGTATTTAAATAAAATAATCCTTTTGTTTATTTACATTGGTTTCTTTACTTTGATGCCTGCCCCCCCGACCAGCAGCACTCGCTTCGCTCGTGCCGCAAATGTCGGGGGCGGGCATCAACTTCTTTTAATATAATATACACAATATTTTTCGTACTTTCGACCGGCTATAAAGAAAATTAGTATACACTACACGGGCAGAAGTTTGAAAGCCCTGAAACTGCGCGCCTCGGCTTCGCCTCGGGCATCATGGCGCGCAGTGCAGGAATTTCAGACTTTCTGCCCTAATAGTGTAATATACTATTCTTAAATCGTCATTTTTTTCATCAATGTATGAGTGTTGTGAAAATTGTGAGAATTGTTTTAGTCTACCTGACAAGTGCGACGATCCTGAGTCAGATGATCCTGAATGCGACGATCCTGATGATGATGATGATCCTGAATCTGATGATCCTGATGATGAACCAGAGTGAGATCCGCCGGAAGAATGACCTCCACCAGAGTGACCATGACCGTGACCATGACCGTGACCATGACCGTGACCGTGCCCTCCATGTCCTTTTCCACTACAATTGTTGACTGAAAAAATTACAATAATTAGAGGGCGCAATATTACAGATTTTTAGCTAAGTCTCCAATAGAAATCGCTAAAAATATACTTATTTTTAATAGTTAAGGAAGTTCGAGCGTAACTTATGAGTCAAAATAATGTTTAAATTTTTTTCACCATCAGTATTCGTCAAAATTCTTTATTTTCATTTGAAATAATTTGAACAATTAAATAATTGATGATTTTTACTTATTTAATAAAATAAAATAATAGAATGATTTTCGTATTTATTACTTGCCGGATTAAATAAATAGATTTGGCAACAGTGCGTTTGATTATACCCACTACAGAGACATGCATGAGTGTATGAGTTGAATATTTCTCTCTCTGTAACTATATTTCTATCCTTTTCTTTTTTCTCAGCTGTTGACGAGACGTTGCCAAATATTTATTCAAATAAATAACTGACGATAAACGAGTCAAAAACATAAAATTTAACTTTAAGTATTTCAAAAATTATATCGGTAATGTATTGTTATTAAATTTTTTTTATATTTTACAATAATCCAAGTTTCTTGTGTATAGTTTTTTATTGGTTAAAGTTGGAAGGTTAATATTAAAAAAAATAATTAAAGTCTCGACTAAAGTTTATCCGCCGTAAGAGGCCGTGTATAAGAAGATAAAAAATGTAATTTTTGAAATTTAATATCTAAGTAACTAAACGGTGAATCTTTTTAAATTTTTGGGATTATATAAATGACGTATTCATTTACACGTATACTTAATTTCAAAGCTCAAAGTTGGAAGTTATTTTTGACATTAGATTCTCTCAAACCTCCTTAATAATTGTGTAATTTCAATTACAGATTTATGTGTGAAGTTAATTTGAAAACAAATAATGTACTTACTTGATAGAAGTAATAGCACTAAAAATTCAAAGAATAATTTATAATCCATACTTTCAGATTGTTTTCGTAAATAAAAAGAAAATAATTATTTCAAGATAGCTTCAGATTAAATAACTTGAAAACAACTAAAATCTGAGCTATCATAACATACATATTTATACAGATATGACGACGAATGGCAAATAGACATAATATTATAATACACACTTCATATAAATAATCAGAAGGTCAATATTTAAGTCAACGATAACATCAAGATCTCAGTAGTTTGATTCATTTTAAATTATCGTTGCATTATTTATGAACTTACAATGTAGATTTGCGGTTTGAGATTTTAGTCGTCGAAAAAAATGAGATATTGATTATTGTATTTGTTTTGCTAATTAAAAAAAATTAGGAAAATGGTTAACCCTGAAAGCTATCCCTGCAGCTTTCTGCTAATTCCATACCAAGGCGCTTGAAATTACACTAATAACGTTTTTACACGCTTTTTATTAGGTTCACCTGTATGTATGTTTGTATGTTTGTAACCGACTTCTTTGGGCGCGATTTTGACCCACTTTAAACGGCCAGATTTCGTTCAAACTTGGTAGATTTATCGAGGACCGATGACAATACACTAATTTGATAAAATTATTCCATTTTTCAATTTAGCAAAATATGATTTTTGTTAATTTATATAATTTTCATCTATAGTCGATAAGGTAAGAAACTTAATTTTAATTTTTTATAATTTTTCTCTACAGTCGATAAGACAGGACTTGATGTTAATTTTAATTTCCAATAATTATCTTTAGCCGATTTCTCTAATATTGACAAATTTTCGAATACTAAGGAGAATTTTAATTCTACAAAACAAATAATAGTTTAAAAAAACTAAAAAATCACGCTTTTATAAATAAACCAAACTAAAAAGTAAAAAATAAATAATAGTTTAAAAAAACTAAAAAATCACGCTTTTATAAATAAACCAAACTAAAAAGTAAAAAATAAATAATAGTTTAAAAAAACTAAAAAATCACGCTTTTATAAATAAACCAAACTAAAAAGTAAAAAATAAATAATAGTTTAAAAAAACTAAAAAATCACGCTTTTATAAATAAACCAAACTAAAAAGTAAAAAATAAATAATAGTTTAAAAAAACTAAAAAATCACGCTTTTATAAATAAACCAAACTAAAAAGTAAAAAATAAATAATAGTTTAAAAAAACTAAAAAATCACGCTTTTATAAATAAACCAAACTAAAAAGTAAAAAATAAATAATAGTTTAAAAAAACTAAAAAATCACGCTTTTATAAATAAACCAAACTAAAAAGTAAAAAATAAATAATAGTTTAAAAAAACTAAAAAATCACGCTTTTATAAATAAACCAAACTAAAAAGTAAAAAATAAATAATAGTTTAAAAAAACTAAAAAAAGCGTGGGGTGCTCTTTAAGATATTATCAAAATGATAATCACTCTACTCGTGTCTGTCAATAAAATATTTATAACTATTGACACCATGCACCCCACGTTTTTTTTTAAAATAAAATACATTTTTTTTTTATTTACACTATTATTAATTTATATTTATTGAAATTTTTAACTCTATTCTTAATTAAAATTTATTTTCTATTTTTTAGTTTGGTTTTCTATAAAAATCGTGTTTTTAGTTTTTTTAAACTATTATTTATTATTTTTATTACTGCATTTTAAGCGTGTAATATTTTATACCATATTTACCTGGAAATATGTAATTATATTAACCTTCCGATAATACTAATAACAAGATTCGATAACGAGGATTGTCTAGATAAAATTCAATAACTACGAATCTAATGAGTCTACACGTAATATTTGCTTACTTAACACTGTAACAATTTTTTTATACGACGAAAAGAAATTTTAAACAATGTTCAAGTATTTTATTTTAATATTAAATATTTTGGGCCTTATTTTGACAGCAGAAGTATGAATATTATTCTTACACTCAATATACTCTTAATTGCGAAGTTCAGGGTTCGACTCTCGGCAGGGGTCGAGCGAAAAAATAATTAATTTTATTTTCTTCTATATTTTTTTTTTCAGGCTCAAGTTTATCAAAATAATTTGAAAGTTTCAACGCGATTAGACTTATCGGGGTCCTTGAAGCATCTTTGTGGTGAAGATGATCAAAATGATAACGATCAAGTGGTCTCCTGTGATTGCCTGAGTAAATTGTCAGTTGTTTCGACCGTCCAAGTGGGAAAATACCAAAATGTCTAGCATTACAAAGAGAGCAATCAAAATGGCGTGAACACTTACGCGTTGCTTCACGAAACTGAAGAAAACTTGGAAGTTTATGGCTCCGGACGCTTCAATGTATTTTTTTCTTACTTTTAGAAGTTTTTGGAAAAACTTTTGGAGGAAAAATTGATAATTTTTTTTTTGTAGTTTCATAATGTTAAGTGCGTAGAAAATAATGAGGTTAAAAATGTTAAGAGTCGGTACACTTATTGGTTCCATGTCTATTTTACTTACTCAGTTGTACCTATACCAAATAAAGTACTTGATTACGTGGACTATGAAGATGAGGATCTATTGCCAGTAACGATTGTGAATATTACTCTTGAAAATGCACCTAAGTTTGTAAGTATTTTTATTATATAATAATAACAATAATGATTAATCTATATTATTAAATCTATATACATTATATATAAAATATGTCAAAATACATGTGGGTTCTCAAATGAAAGCTCTCGATGAGTATAACATCGGGATGAGCTTATTATTTAAAAATATTAAAAAATTTTTAAATTATTAAAAAATTATTTTTTGTAACTCCTGCTTCCAAAGTTCAACATTCAAGCCTTGCTCAGCAAACTCGCTAAAAGAAACGACACGTTTACAATGAGACCGAGTACGCTTACCCCCACTCGCCTAACGGCTCGTGGGGGTAATCTGCGTACTCGGCCCCATTGTAAACGCGCCGTTTCTTAGACTCGTGTCTCAATTTTTAAGCCCTGGGAATGCCTCACCGCACATATGTATCGAAAATATCTATTTCCTAAAATAGGCATTGTTGTAGCAAGAAATTAATTTGGTGCCAAATTTTAAACGAATTATTTTCTTTTTAATTTCATAAATTTTATTATTAATTACAAGTAATTTTTTAATGAAATGATACACTGTGTAAAAAAAACCGGGGTAAGTCCAAAGCGGTGTAGGTGTTAAAATTTGCGGTGTTAAATTCCAACACCGAAAGCGGTGTTAAAATAACACCGCTGCCGGTGTAAATATTTTTTTCCGGTGTTGAAGCGGTGTTAAAATATTTTTTGATGTTGAAGATATTTTATTTAAGTCTGTATTACATAGGTAACAATTTAAATAACTACAAACCGAAATTAAAATTTGTTCTGGATGATACTCATAGATTTTTTATATTTTTTTATGTCATACATTATTTTCGTAAATTTTAAAGGCACAATTTTGTTTATTTCAGCAAAAATCATAAAAATTACACCGACCCACAAAAAAAAAGTGGTCTGTACTTTTGACCGGACTTACCTATCTTTTCAGATTCATTCAGATTCATTTTATTTATGCCAAAGCTTGCTGGCCAGATGGCAAGTTTTACAAAAGTACAAAATTTTATAATACAATAAAAAGAAAATTATACACAATGATTGTAAACTTATAAAAAAAAAAAAAAAAAAGCTATCGCTGGAAGCTATCATCATTATTAACTAATGCTGTAGTGACTAGTAACTTAAAAACTATCTAAGTACCAAGAATAACCACTAAAAATTAATTAAATTTAAGAGATCAAATACATCATTTAATTTAACCATATTCTTATCTTGATTTATCACGATAAGAATATGGTTAAATTAAATGATGTATTTGATCTCTTAAATTTAATTAATTTTTAGTGGTTATTCTTGGTACTTAGATAGTTTTTAAGTTACTAGTCACTACAGCATTAGTTAATAATGATGATAGCTTCCAGCGATAGCTTTTTTTTTTTTTTTTTTTTTTTTTTTTTTTTTTTTTTTTTTTTTATGTTTACAATCATTGTGTATAATTTTCTTTTTATTGTATTATAAAATTTTGTACTTTTGTAAAACTTGCCATCTGGCCAGCAGGTTATGAGTAAAATGCAAAAAAACCCCCAAAAAAGGCAAAAAAATTGCGGTCATCGTTCTCTTCATTCTACTTATACTTCATTTTTTATAGATTTCAAAATTTTGTGAATATTTAAATTCTAAGATCATATTTTATACATTGAAATGCACCTGAGTCATTAACAATCGTGATTAATAGATTTTTTCTTATATTTAATGCAATTTTCTCGATTTTTTTCTATTTTTTGAAATTTTTTTTTTTATTTTAAAACGTCAATAGGACAAGAAAACTTCAGATTCAAATTCAGTGGAACAAAGTACATAAAAATCATACTCAATCTGAATCCAAAAAATTTTTTTCATCTCGATAATTTCGATTTTTCATGATTTCTTGCCTTTTTTTCAATTTTTTCAAACTTTAATGGATCAAGGGGCTACTTAACGTTTAGATTTAGATTCAGTGAATTGACGTACATGAAAATCATACTTGATCTGGGTTCACAAAAATTTATTCATCGCTGTGACTGCAGTTTTTCGCAATTTTTTGCTTTTTTTTTTCATTTTACTCATAATTTTGAGGGTATACGGGCAAAACTGACTTCAGATTCAGATTTAGCGCGTCAAAATACATAAAGTAAGGTCTGGTTAAAAGTACAGACCACTTTTTTTTTGTGGGCCAGTGTAATGAATACTATTTTAATATATTTTCTATTTATTTTTTTTTTGTAATTTAAAAACTCAATTTTATTATGTTTTATAGATTTTATAATCTTGATATTTTAAATAGAATGGTTACTCCTCTTTTATACTGATATTACTCCGTTTTACACCGATTTAACACCGGTATTTTAACACCGGAAAAGTTACGCCGGTGTTATTTTCTTTTAACACCGCGCAGTGTTAAAATAAGTCCATTTTTAACACCGCTCTTTTTACAGTGTATTAATAATAATAATAATTTTTGCAGAAATATTTAAAATTAAAATTGGACGATAGTGAAATTTATAATTTTGAAGATAATTTGGGAACAATGTGTGGGGAATCTCTAGAAAAAGGTTTTATGGAACATACATTGTGGAGCATTATTGATCAAGTTCTACTACATAATGACAACAATTGTAATTATCCCAAGGTATTTATTTTACACTAATACAATTAACTATTTTAATAATTGTTTATTAAATTTTATGCGAATTTTTTTACGAAGGGTTCGACTTTCCCGATTGTCGAAAAAATGCCAATGACCGTAACAGTCGACGAGCCTTTGAAGAGTGGAATGTATACGCTTGCGTTTTCATTTTTTTTAGAAGGTGAAAGTGTAACACTCGATTGGTATGGTAAAACTTTTTGGTACTTGGAAGCTGGTAGTACTTGAGTTTAATAATTGACCAAAAAAAAAAATTTTCCACTGGAAATTAATGAATTGTATTTATGTATGGTATCTATAGAGTGTATAGGGTAAATATCCAAATAGATGGACGGTTAAGCAAACTCTCGTGTTCTATTAAAAAAATAATATGGTAATATACAGATAAATTCCCGAGAAGAAATTTTTCTATGTAATCATATATGATTATAAATGGAATCACATAGATAATTATATACAACTATAAATAATCATATATAATTATATACAATTATAAATTATCATACATAATTATATATAATCATAAGGGTGCTTTTTTTCAACTATTTTTTTTTTCGGTCCCATCGTGAAATTTTGTTGCAAGTACTCAAGAAAAAATACCCTGAAAGTTTGGGCCCTTAATATTAATATTAAGACCTTGACCCAGGCGTTTAAAGATTTCCCCTTAAAAAAACCCAGAAACTTTGGCTTTTCTATGTTTAAATTTCTATAGCTCAGTGGCATTTCATAGCATTGCTTCGACCATGGACGAGTTTTTTTCAGAATTGAATGCTCGACAAAAGTGTCCATAGCGGCCAAGCCATAACTTGAACCGGCAGGGTAGTACAGGCCTCTAAACTTGATTTTTTCATAAAATTCGTGTTTTTTCGCATTCATCTCGTGAATAACAAGAGCTACAGAAAAAATGTGAACGACAAACTTGTAGAAAATTTAATTTCCTACAAAAAAAGTTTGAAGCACCAAGTCGTTAAAATCAAAATTTTCAGAGATATTTAATGATCAATTTTTAGTAATTTCAAATGTTTATCGAAAATTGCGTCAAACTATAAAAAATATCTTTTGAAAATATTATTAAATATCTTTGAAAATATTGATTTTAGCGACTTGGTGCTTCAAATCTTTTTTGTAGGAAATTGAATTTTCTACAAGTTTGTCGTTTTCATAGAAAAATTAAGTTTAGAGGCCTGTACTACCTTGCCAGTTCGAGTTACGGCTTGGCCGCAATGGACACTTTTGTAGAGCATTCAATTCTGAAAAAAACCCGTCCACGGTCGAAGTAATGCTATGAAATGCCACTGAGCTATAAAAATTTAAACATAAAAAAGCCAAAGCTTCTGTGTTTTTTTAAGGGGAAATCTTTATACGCCTGGGTCAAGGTCCTAATATTAATATTAAGGGCCCAAACTTTCAGGGTATTTTTTCTTGGGTACTCGCAACAAAATTTCACGATGGGACCGAAAAAAAAAAAAATAGTTGAAAAAAAAAAGCACCCTAATAACCAATTTATATATAAATATTTTTTCTCGGGTTGTGATAAAGTAAACTATATTTATGAAAAAATATATAATTAACCAGAAGAAAATAAGTAAAACTCCATAAAACGTTGTAGTAATTAATAAAAAAGAAAAATGTAAGAAAAACTCCAAAACGACAATTTTGAACGTTTTTAAAATGATTTTCATAGAGATAATTTATTTTTGTACAGCTGTAGATTTGTCCTGAAATTAATGGATGGTAATTTACGAATTACCCATTTACGGTGAAATTCGAAAAATTTTCTTTTATAATGATAATGTGATGCTGTTATGTAAGCTATGGGAGACTATGTGTTACAATATGAGTTTATGTGCAAAAGAAATACCTGAAAAAAAATCAAATTATTAATTTATTATGTTTAAAACATCCATTATATTGTAAGAAACATCATGGTTACGATAAAAATAGTTATTATATTGTTACTAAACATTTAATATTGTAAATATTATTTAACTTGTTGTATACCATTCATTAAATCGATTTCTGCGTAATTTTATAAATTGAAAATTCTTAAATAAATTTTACTTGTCTCATTTTGATAAATATTGAATATTAATTGTGTTTTATGGATTTTGTAATATTCATACTATTACATGATATTCATACATAAAGAGAGTCTTTCTATGATTTAGAGATTTTTGAGCTATTTTTATTTTATATTAACAATTTATTTGTTCAAAGACATTAAAAATCACTCTCAAAGTTCCTAAATAAAAAATATTTATTCAATATATTACCGTCCCGTGCATGAATAAGTATTTATTCAATAAATTAATTCGAGAAATCGTAAGCGTAGGATATAAATAAGGAGTAAGTAAAGACCAAAGATTTGCTTTTCCGATCTAACTTAAACCACAGACACGATCGTGAGGGAGGAGATGACTTTCAACGCACGAATGATCAAAGTGGGTCGTAAAAAGAAACGAAAGTTCTCAACCCCGGTGTACACGTTAATCGCTAAAGCATACTCTTTTTATGAATTCCTACGATTCAATTTAAATTCATCCATGCGGATAACTTTAACAGCTTAATCTGATAATCAATCAATTTGTATATTTATTCAGATTTAAAAATAACAAGTTTGAAGTAAGCTTACTAATTTTGTGTTTTAAAAAAAATTATTTTATTTAATACCTTTTTTTTTTTTTTTTTTTTTTTTTTTTAGCCAGACGATCAATAATTCATTAATTTTAAATGAGTAAATTAGAGTTGCGGTAACAAAAGAATGAAATTACCTTAACAGCAATATCCATTGTGTTATTGGGCTGTTGGACAGAGGACAGGGTCAAATAGATCTTGTGGCAATTGGTCGAGTAAGGGAGAAAACGATAGTACGTAAACGATAGTGTATACCAAAGGCCAGTTAAACTGTTCGGAAACTCCAGAGCTATCCAATTAACCGGGAGAGCCTTAGGATCCGTTTTCGGATACTGATGGTCCGTGGGGTTAAGGGCCAAGTCTATATTCTGGACTACATATTTAACACTACATAAATTCGAACCGAAGATCTAATCTACTTATTTACAAATATCCCTAATAACTGATAAGATTATTAACCATTTCAATTTAATCTTATTGGGTAGTGATAAGGTCGTTAATAACTACTGATTTATTTTATCTCTAATTAATTTGATTTTCATGTAAAATAATTGCTTTTAAACTTTTTTTGTCAATAAATTCTCTAATATAATATGAGAGCTTATATCGTTAAAAATATTATCAGTAGACAAAATACAATCTCATTTCTTAACTATTGACATTTTTGAAGATATAAGCTCATCCTGATGTTCTGCTCACTGAGATCTTTCATTTGAGTATGCACATGAATTTTTTATATATTTTATATATATGATATTTCTCATATTTGTAAAATATATAAAATATATTAAAAATTCATGTGGGTATTCAAATGAAAGATCTCGATGAGCGTAACACCAAGATGAGCTTATATCGTTAAAAATATCAACACTGGACAAAATACAATGTAATTTATTAAATATTGATATTCTTAAAGATATAAGCTCATCCTGATGTTACGTTCATCGAGACCTTTCATTTGAGTATGCACATAATTTTTTCATATATTTTATATATATGATATTTGTGAAATATATAAAATATATGAAAAATTCATGTGGGTATTCAAATGAAAGGGCTTCATGAGTAGAACATCAGGATGAGCTTATATCGTTAAAAATATCATCACTGAACATAATACAATGTAATTTTTTAAATATTATTGACATTTTTCAAGATATAAGCTCATCCTGAAGTTATACTCACGGAGCCCTTCCATTTGAATACCCACACGAATTTTTCATATATTTTATATATTTAACATATATGTGAAATATAATATATATAAAATATATGAAAAAATCATGTGGGTATTCAAATGAAAGCTCTCGATGAGAATAACACCAAAATGAGCTTATATTTCACAAATATCAGAAATATCATATATATGGATGCATAGTATGCAACATATTGTCGCTGACTTAACATAATGCAAGTTTGTATAAGAAGAGTCGTTAAAATAATTTTTTGTGTTAAATTTGACGGAAATTTTTTTACTGTGTGATAGAAATCGTGGAACGTTTTGCAATTTCTGATCTTATAATATTTATAATAATAATTAAAAACTTTTTGTTTTTTTCTTAATATAAGACGTAATTTTTTTTTTATCTTCAACTATTTCATAACTTAACTATCAAGAGGTTATCAATGAGAAGATTCGTATCGAAACTTTTATCCAACTGTATGACTAAGCGCTTAGTACATAGTTAGATTTTTTAATTGTCTCAATATGTATATTTATAGATATATATGTCGATTAATTTTTATACTAAAAAGTATCAATAAATAAAACACGCAAGCAATGAATTGACGATACCTCCATATCTTTAACCATAAAAACAATTAATTTTTTATAAGCTACTCCGAAAAGGTAGATGACATAAAAAGTATCCTTTTCTCGAGGAAATCCCTTGACAGGTTATTCCTGGTAGTGATGGTACAACTCAAATGGTATAGGTTCGTATCTACTTATTTTTATTTCTTAGTGGTAACTTTAATGAACGGAAATAATAGTTCGATCGCAATTAGTGGGAAACGACTATACGGTTGGTAATAAAAAGAAACTGCTACAAGGTTGTAAGTAAGTTTACCCAGGACATTAAACTAGTACGAAAAATTCTAACTGCCACTGACCGAAGACCAAACGTCGTTGCCTACCGTTAATTGAACGCAACGCTCGTAACAATTTACCCTAGTGTATTGGTAGGGAGGATAGAACGAGATGAAGGGGCAGGAGAATGGGATGTTTTCCTCGGAAGAACCTACCCTCTATTTCGTTGCTATTTCTTCACTCCGGGTATTACGGAATCGATACACTTACTTTTGATACGGGGTATATTGATGTGCGTTGGAAAAATTTTTCTTTTTTTTACATGTGGAGAACTATTGTTATTCGATGTCATTTGATTGTGAATACAACCGAGGTTTTCAATATGCAAAAAATGTCGTAAGAGGACATATGAATTCTTATAATGTTTCTCACTGGATTCTTATGAATTTTATTGTGGATTCCTATTGGAAGATTTATTGGATAAATTTTTCAAATCGTGTGTAAGATATGCCATATTTAATAATATAATAATGATTGTCAGCATGATAAATCATGGTAATAATGA